AGTAATGAACCAAAACTTCCCGCAAAAACACTTCATCTGGCACAAATTTAGACATATTCAATGAATTATACAGTATTGTTATTTATGATTTCAAGAAAGGTTATGTACGGCAAATGACGTCCTATGATAGATGTTTACAATGTATACAGAACTATAGGTAACAACGAAATAGTGCTTGTGCCATCTCTTGTAAAACGCTACGAATTAATTCCAACACCTAATATTATTATTATTCATTGTTTATTTATCTAGTTCAAAATATATGTTCAAAACTTAATAATACTCGATTTATAATTTATTAAAAACTGTTATTTTAGCGTTATCATCCGAGTTCGATTATCGACCGATGCGCAACAGATTTCTCTCATACCGACATTACGTATGCTATCGACAATACCGATTGCCGAACTGTGACCAACCGTCAAAAACCAAAAACGAGCAGCGCACTTCCTCTACATTTGAATTCAGTCATTGGTAGACTTTGATTCAAGTGTCTGCCAACAGAGGCGGTTGGCAGACTTGAGGACGCCACGACTGGCGCGGTCGTTTCGCGAAGCACCGTTTTGAAAAGTAACGGCGACGCTGGTTTGATCACGCTTGTTTCACCTTCGCGTTTCGACGCTCGGAATACTGTGCAAGAGAATGTGGTGAATTTGACACAATGACGGAGTTCGAGGAGACGCTCGCACCGACGGAATTCGACATGTAAGTAAATCCATCAAATCGAACGCTCTGATCCTTCCCCTCTCATAAATCCCCTCCGCGATCCCTCGCACGTGGGGCTTCCTGCGTAAATATAAATAGACACATATATTTTTGCCGCTTGCTGAATACATACCCCGTACGATGCCTGTCCCTTCAAGAACAGTCAAAACGTCCCAGAGATCCAATTTGTTATTTGCTTGCGTGAATTATAATAATAAATGACTGTTCTGTATTCATTTGTTTGTAGATCATTGTTTTATCTATTTCTATCGATATTGTTGTTTTTGAATCGTTTTATCATTTTGTTATAATTCCGTCTCTATCTTTCTATCTCTACTTGAATCTCTTTTTTTATCTTGTGTAAGTGAAATTGACAGGTTCTCACATATCTGTGATTGATGTCTATTTAGCTTGGAAAACTGAATTCTTTTTGAGGAAAGTATGAAGCAAACTTGAGAACGCAAATCACATGCGAATAACATTGTTATGCCATATGATTTCACCACATGTACTTCACGATAAATCGTGAATTCACTCATTGTTTATTCATTTAACAGCGGTTATCTCCCTGCGCGAGGTTAAGGATCGTCTTACATATCACAGTGGTTATCAATCTCTCGTTTGTACGCTACGTCAATCTCCAACGTCAAGGGCGACTTCGAGTTCCCAGTAATTTTAATCGGGAATTAATTCAACCTGCTGAATTGTTTATAGCAGAATTTAGCTACGTAATTTATCATCCATAATCTAATTTTTTGATATTAGATGATAAAAGATAAATTATCTTATCCATGTTAACTAAACAATGCAAATATTGCTTGATAAAATAATCACTATTTAAGTTAATCAGAATTTAAAAATGTACGACGTTTTTTACTAGCAATTAGTTCTAATATTTTAATAAATTAGAAAATTAGCAACTAAAATGATACATAATTCTATAAATTATATTTTTTTAGCTGCTTATTTAAAAGTATTAGAGATATAGTATTATAGATACATTTAATTAATAGATATATGTAATTAAAAATATATGTAATTTATAGAATATTTTTTTAGTTGCTAGTTTTTTAATTTACTGCTGGAAGTATAGCACAATCGTTGCTATTAAAAAAAGGATCGTATAAAAGCAACATTGCTCAACAGACAACATTAAAAAATTTTTCATATTCTGTAGAAAAAAAGTTGATGCGAAAATTCTGCACAGTGTTTTATTTTATCTTTTAATATAGCATTAATTATCATACATTTACAATTGTCACAATTGTTCGGCTGGGAAACTGTTTTCGATCGATGTCAGATTCGTTTTCTTGTTTTCATGATCTTCCACACTCCTCCGTTTTCTGTTTCTGTCATTCACTGTTAGTCTGCTCTTCGCATCGTCTGCTTTTCTCTTTATCCTCCCGCATCGTTCCTCTCCCTTTTATGTGCGTTACTCTCTTGTGGAGTCCCTTTTTCTCTTCCGCAGCTTCCGCTCTTTGATCTGACAGTACAACGGCGTTTACATTGGCTACTGCGTGCTGATTTACATGTCCGTCGATAACGAAGAAAACGAGAAGGGAGATTTGTAATAAATACAAATCATGTTCCTAACATTTATGAATATTCGTTTAATCATTGAACGAATAAATTGAAATTGATTGTGTAATTTAAGTTCACTGAAAAAAAATTACTAAGTTTTAATAAATATTTCTCTTAGTAATATATTAATTAAATATTTATTAAATGTAAATATATTTTTATTTTTGATGCAAGAACAATTTAATTTGATTATCATTTTTTATTGAAATATTTATTTTGCTATAAGTAAATATTCAGTTAGTACTTTAATAAAAAAATGTATTAAAATTTTCTTGGTAAATATTTTCTCCTTATGTATAGGAATTTTAACAGATGCAATCCATCGTTTTTATCGAAAATTTATTATATAAATTTAAATTCTTTTTGACAAACTTGTTCGAAAAAAATGTCGATTGTACAAAATGAATATTATATAAACAGTATACATAAAATATATCTGTAAAATATATGTGTTTTTGGACAATATCTAGAAAACAAATATCTTAAAAAGTATAAAGATTCAAAGTCGAATTTTATCTAAAGAAGCTGAATGGAATAATTACCATAGAAGCTAAATTATTTTTTATACAAGAAAATGCGAAACAATTTTTAAGATTTATTATATTATTATAAGGACTAATTAATATCCTTCAAGTTTTTAAATTTCTCATTAAAGATTTTGTACTTTTCCAAGTCTTGCACCGAAAGAAGAAATGCAGCCTCTTTCCTCGTCCCTCTTTCCTGTAGCTACTCCATGGCCGACATGGCGCATCCCTCGCATCTCCTCTGTTATCCCCCGCACCTCCATCCCTCTATTTCTACTCGACTCGTGTTGCCGTCTGTCGTCAGTCGTTTTCGGTGCGCCGCGCGATACGCGGTCGACGTTTCGAAACACGATCCCTGTAGTGCGAGGAATTCGCGAGCGGCCGAGAATCGGATCGACTGATGCAGGACTTCATATACGAATCGCATTTAGCCGCATTTAGCAAATCATCAAGATAAGATAGCAGAACTTTGTCACATCTCGACGAGAGAGAAGATTTCATCCCCCTCTGGGAAATCGCGATCGATCGTGTAGATTGTGAAGATCATCTCAAGATCACCTCCGACGAGTGACATCGATCGTGAATGTCTCACTCTGAACTCGACAACTCGCGAGATTCGATCACGACCGTGAAGAATTGTCTGATGCGTCATCTCGCGCGAGAGCTGATGCCATTGATCGGTCCAGCTACGTGGAGCATAGTCCGTTCGCGCTAACGCCATCACCCTCAAGCAGAGTGGATTCTGAATTCTTTCCATACTCTCGACCCTCACGTAGTGAAGGGTGAGAAGGGTTGGGAGGGTGGTATGTCTTGTTTACGTGAGAACGTGAGTGCGATTTCGATAATTAATCGCGGGGGATCATCGTTCACGAGGACCTGATTTTTCCCGAGGAACACTTTCGTGTCCCGCGTCTTTTGTGTTTTTAAGGAGACGAAAGAACGTTGTTTTTAGGATTCTAAAAGATTTGTCGTGAGAATATTGTATTCTTTGCGAAGAGTCAATCGATGGTGCGCGTTTCATCTCGTTTTTTCAGATCTTTTTTTGGGAGCTCAAACGATACTGCTTTGTAGTGCCGCGGATTTAGTAACATTCGTGAACGGATCACGTGTTTTCGCATTAGTGATTGTTGCCAAATTGCTGCGGAATGCTTCTCGGTGGCTGCAGATATTCCATCCAAAGTCAGAATGTGCCGTCCACGAGGACTGGCTCTTGGGGTCCTTATAATTCTTTCCGAAAGTGAGTGCAGTAAATGTGCTTAACTCGATTGATCATTAATTTACTCTTTCGATTCTTAAAAGGGCAATAAATTTGCTACTTACTGTTAACTCTGCCGTTTAACTCTCCTCCACCCCCTCTCCTATACCCAAAATATAATTTATTTTCTTACTATTTTCTTAACATTTTTTTTTCATTGCTATTTGATGACTTTGTTAATATAGGTTCTTTTTTTCTATGTAAATTTTTTAATTATATTGTATACGATTATATCGTTTGATATAATCGTATACACTCTAAAAAATATGAATGTAGATTTAACACCACATGGTGTCTATATAATTTTCACTATGTTGATGTTGGTAGCACATGGTGTGGATTTAAATCATGGATTTTAAATCCTCATCATAATGATGTTAATATTAACATCATCATGAAGAATTATACACACAACGCATAGTGTTAAATCTCAACACCCATATTTTTTAGAATGAAGTAAATAGATCAGCAGGATTACATTTGCAATAATTCCTTCTATGTCTGTCTTTATTATCTTAATTATCAATAATTAATGGAAAATTGACAATAAAGGAAAAAATCTGAATGATTGACAGATAATTGAATGTTATTAAATTGAACATTTCGTCAGATTTTCGATAGAGATTTTTAATATTTTTAATATTAAGATAATATATTTGTTTCGTTTTTTTTTTATGTAAAAAATTAAGTTCTGTTTTCCGAAATACTGTTACTCGCTAGAGAACGCTTTTACTGTCGAAAGTACTGAATATTACTTTCGCTGTACTGTATATTATTGGCGTAAAAGGGTTAATGCAAGTTAATAATGAGATCTAGTTTGCCTGTTCTTTATCTTTATCGCGTATCATTTAACGTTCATGCATTTAGTTAGCATCCATTATAATATACTTACATGGTCCGATAGAAACTAATAATTCTGTAATATACTAAAGTGCATCATACAATCTAATAATTTATATCGAACATAAAAAATATATTTTTTTTACATTAAACTGATTAATATTTTATAACATAGTAATATAATTATTACTTTGGATGTTTCTATTAATTACTATTTGAGAAGTCATCCTATCTTTACTCCACATTCGGAATGTAATAATTTTTTTTACCATATACTAAGCAGGAGTTTATCAGTTGCTATTGTATCGCGTATACATATGCATGAGACAAGACATATCGCATTAATTTACATATTTATAGGTATACCTCTTTAAGTATTACTTAGGTAGCAATGACGAAAGAATCTTCTTTTGACAGCCAGGAGTCAAATAATAATAAATAAAAATATAAAGTTTTTACAATATAGACAGAGGAATAGCTTATTCGTGCGGGTACACAGTCGCGACATCGTATTGAAAATAAAGTCCTACTGACAGGATCCAGCTAACTATTTAACTGCTCGGTCAATTCGTTTAACGAACCGTTAATTGAGGAAACTTTGCACGGCTGACACCTACGTGATAGTTACATGTATGGTAACCAAGTAAAAGTCTGAATTACTTCGCATGAAGTATGTATACGTATCAGTTGTTTACTGAATGAATATTCTAATATCGCAGCAAAACATTTATGGATAAATAGCCCGGCAAAAATAAGACTGAAGCGATTACAAGTACCGTGTATTTACTCGTATTATTGCTGTTTACTTATAATTATTTTAATTACAGAAATTATTTGATATTTATGGCAATGTTAATATTGATAATTATATATAAAAATGATGGTGATGCTAGATTAACTCAATATTTTTAAATATTTCCATTATTCTTTTATTTTAATTTCCATAGATTGCGCTGTTAGAGATTTTTATAACTTAAAAAGCAGAAATAAGAAAATTAATGTAAGTCACTTGATAAGATGATCCATAGATTTGAATGTATCTTTGATCGTATACTAGTTACTTATAGTATCAGAAATTGAAACGCGTGCACTTACGGTCCATGTGGCTGCTGCTATACCCGTTATAACTTCGTATCGATTATCTGTTACATCCTCCATGTTGTCAGATGGTAACTGATGATGCATCCTTTCATCAGACTGCTTCCTCATTTCGTGTACTTACAAACGATGCCTTGTCTAGATTCTGTTTGTTAAAAACGTTACGAGTCGCTACACATTTTTTTACGAAACCCATTTCAATTTATTGGATAGATTTTCCACACTTTATTTTTATCTTCATGATATGAACATTAAATTTATCAGAATTTATCAATTCTGAAAGGATGTAGAAAACATACGAAATTTCAAATTTAAAATAAACTGTATAAAATAAAATTAAGTAAAATTAAATTGAAATGTAATCTCCAAATATTAATGTGAAATATTTTTTTTCTTATACGATAAATCTAATAAAATAACTCTCAGTAATATACTTATGTCCGGACATTTACACAAAACTTTATTTATTTATTTATGTTATTATTAATCTCAAATGCTTTTTAACATAAATACAATTAAATTATGATATTTTAATAACAAAAACATTTGAGATTAATAATAATAATAAATCTTGTTTAAGTGTCCGAACACATGTATAATATATATCCGTCGAGGATGTTTACCTTAATAGTGATAATTTTTTATATGTAACGACAATTATGCAGTAAAAGATTTGGAAAAAAAAATCGAGATTAAATTTCGACAGATTGTTTCAATCTTCGTCGAAATTTAAAGTTGAATCACCTCACAATATGTCATATAAAAGGATTTAAATGAATCATATTATATGACGTCACTTAATGCGTAATTACAGGGAACGAATTCATGTTTAGCACTGTTATCGCATCATGCGCATCTTGCACTCGTCTTTGGGGCCCTTTAACGTCATCCGACCCGCGTGTCCCCGGTAAAGCTGCAAGATTCCGAGAAGTCCGTATTCGGAGTGGTTAAACCTGTAAGGGTAGCGATGCTTAATATAACGATGTCGGATGCATACAAGGGTAAAGTCGGAAAGCCGACAGTTGTGCACGTGTCTTCTGCATCTGCTGCTCGGACATGTTGACGAAAATTCAATTTCCAAATCGGAAAATTGTCTGAGCTGATAATTTCAGCATATCATTTCTCTTTATGATATACGTAATGGCATTTAATTGTTAGAACATTAGTGGTAGTTTACATTATATAGATAAATAAATAAATCTTAAAATTTAAAGTTTCAATTTAACTCAGAAGAGTTAGAATTCAGCTAAAACTAGTTTCAGAGAAGTGAAGTTATTATTTTTTTAAATTATGTATTAATTATACTTAATTTTACTTTATGCAGTTATTATTTTTTAAAATTTTGAGAGAAATAGTCATATGTTATACAATATTAATAAAAAATCAAAGAAAGTTCTATTTTTATCGGGTCTAACACTCACATTAAGCGTTTTGCTTTCTGCAAGATAGGAAATAAAATTCGATTTGTTTGTAAATATAAAAATAGCTTAAATATTATATTATTCGAAAATGATCATGTTCTTATATTCGCTTTCTCATCTTCTTAAATTATCTATGTTGTTTTTATTGCAGCGCTTTTATTACAGCAAATTTTTAGTGTAAGATAGATGAAAGTAGATAAAAATGGATAGAGGTTTTTGATATTTACATAAAAATTAGAAATGTGCAAAATGTTCTTTTGAACAATTCATTTTATTTATTTTATTATATTCTATTATTTTAAGAATTTCAATATTTTGTTGTCATGTTTTGGATTGTTAAAATAATAGAATTATATTTGGACGGACTTTAAAATACTTGATAATACTTGTTCATAAAATAGCTTCTGCGAATATTTTCAAGGAAAATATCAATAAGTACAATACTAGACATGTGTATATGTATATTTGAATTCTCTCTTATGTAACGATAATATGAAATTGTAATATTCCTTATGTCTACCATATGGCTTCTATTTATAACCGAAGATTAGACACAGATACAACAACTCTGCGTACATATGTTTTGTACGTAAGTCAACTTATCAGTTAAATTATAAACTGCACATAAAAATCTTGCTCTATACTAATTAATATTATATAAATAATTTA